TCCAAAGACAATAGTGTCTGATGGAGGTCCGGCCTTTGTAAGTGAAAGTTTCAAAGATTTTTGTAATGCGATGGAAATTAAACACGTATTAGCTCCACCATATCATCCCAGTTACAATGGACAGGCGGAGAGAATGGTAGCTATCGTGAAAAATTGAATTAAAAAGGCCAAACAAGAAAGTAATGATGTTTGGATGGTACATTTATATTATAATAATTCCAGAAACCGAGAGGGAATTACTCCGGTGGAGTTATTTTTGGGAAGAAGGACCAGAATGCCGTTGGATTTCTTAAAATCCAAAGATGGAACTGGTGTACCTTCGGTTGATAAGATTGTAATAAAATATCCTGTGGGAAGAATTATATGGGCCCGTTTGTTTGATAACAAAGGGAAGAAATGGGAAAAAGGTCGTATAGTAGAAAACCTTGGTTCCAAATTAAATGAAATTTTGCTAATAAATGGAATTACGGTAATCAGACACAATGATCACGTAAGGTTAGGAGAAAGTAAGAAAGGATAAAGATAATATGAAAATACTTAAATATTAATCTTATCTGATTATTTTTCCAGAATCTTAGATTATTGGAATCATATAGCATAATGTGTTAAAGATGAATAATGAAATTTATTGTAGTAATATAGCATAATATGTTAAATGTGAATAATGAAAATATTGATTCTTTTGGGATACTCTGATAACGATACTTGCGTAGTATTGGGAGTAAGATACTATCATAAAGATAGGGGTAGGCTTCTTTGGGATTAAGTGTTAATGGAATCCATTAGAGGATGCTTAATTGAAACTTTGAAAAGCCTGGAAAATGAAGGGATTTTTATATTTCGGAGGGAGAACTCAACATCCTATAATTATACGGGATTATAATTGAGTCTCAGGGTATTGAAGGGCAAAGACAATTTTTTTTGTATTCCCTTGAAGGAAGAGATTCCTTTGGTTATTTAAATAATCACGTAATTGATAAAATTAGTGGATTACAAAACAAAATTATATAACTTAATGAATTAGTTGAATACTGAACAACTGGGGGTGTTTTGGTAATTTATACTTTCGGTTACATGGTATTAAAGTCCATCGGAGGAAAGTATTTTATTAATTTATTGATTATTTTATATACTCGAGTATCCTCATTGTAGAGTGATAGGAGTATAATATAAGTAATTAAATGGTATAACGAGGGAATCGTTTATGATTATGTTATATACCGAGCAGTTGTTTTTTTTTTCAAGGAAAGTAAAGAAAAAGTTAATAAAAAATGTAAATTTTTGTGATGGATGGTCAGTGGAAAAAGAAAAAGAAAGTTATGTTTTTTTTGTTTTCATGGACGGTTTACTTTGATGTTGCTATGGTATAAAGAAAAAAGATTCAAATTGTGTTAGACAATAAAGAGACTATAAACTTTGACCTTATAGTTGAACTAAGACTATAAACTTTGACCTTGTGATTGAACCAATGGGATTCACAAAAGTGAGAAGACAATTCGGGAAAAATTTTCGGTCGTTTCAATTGATGTTATGGAGGGCCAGCGTTATTCAGATCAAGCCAACGATTAAATGCTGACTATCGTTATTCGAGTCAAGCCTGCAATCGCATGATGATTATCGGTACAACTAGTAATCAAGCTCAAGAGTATATAAATATGGAGTAAAAAGGGACAACTGGATATCCGTATTTTTCCTTATGAATACATTCTAAAGAAGAAAATTCTCTTATTATAACAACATAATTAATAATATAATATTTTTCAAAATATATATTAAATATTATATTTAATGGTGAAGAATGTCGTTGACCCATAAAGGGGTGACATGTCTTAGTATGTTAAAAAAATGTATATATATAAGCCTCAAATGTCAATCAGATGGATTGTAGACATCTGATTGGAGGAAAAAAATAATTATTATTTAATGTAAAAAAAAAAATAATAATTATTATAATAATATATTTTTTTGAAAAGATATTTTTTTGTAAAATTAATTCATTGAAAAATTTTTGTTAAATTTATAAAAAAAGAAGAAATAATAATTATATAATTTTAGTTTTTATTTTGTAAAGATTAATTCATTAAAAAAAATTGTCAAAGTTTTAAAGAAAAAGATTATTATAAGAAATAAAGAAATTTTGAATAATTTAAATAATTTAAATAGTATTTTGTTATACTTATTCTATCGTTTAATACAATTCAATATCAACTATGGATATCCAGAATACACTTAAAAAGTTATCTTATAATATATTATTTTTATATAATTTTATTTATATTAAAATTAAATATATGAATATTTTTTTTATAAAACGATCTTATATATTCTTTTTGTATAATTTTATTTTATTATATATTGTCGGAAAAAAATAAATATTATTTTTGTATATATTTAATTTTTTTAAGTAACAAGTAGTCCGTTACTTTTTTGAAAGGTAACGAGTAACGGTAACGCGTTTCTTTTCTAGTAACGTTTACAGCACTTAAAATAAGATTTTTTTAAAAAAATTGGAATAATGCCAGAACAAAAAATATAGAAAAATATCTGATAACAAGCGAAATAAAAACTTGAATAGAGTCAGTCAAACCTGTAAGCATTAACTCTTGAAATTTATATTAATAATTGTACGTATTTAGTATATATTGGTAGTTGAATCCGTGTTGTATATCGTTTTAAGAAATACTCATTATTGGCAAAAATAATAAAAGCCAAGATCGGCATGCATCATGCTTGAACGAAAACAGATGCATTGAATATCTAGGGGGTGACCTAAATATGTAATGCCAGATTAGTACGTATCATCAATCAGAATTTCAGTCAATAAATAAAAACCAGTTATAAGTCAATTAAAAATAGGGCACGCCTTGGGCTGAGTAAATTTTGTATAAATTGCGATTCAAAAATACGTCTAAATGCATTGATTCCTCTTCCTCGATTGAAAATATATTTGAAGCTTTGTTCTTTTCAGTTCTGACTCATATTAAGACGCAGTCTTAAGGATGAAGTTTACCAACTTTTGAAAGCACTCATTCTAAAACTTAGATCAATATGTTAAATAGTATGTATTTTGGTTTAATCATCAATCCATTGCGTAAACAGTATAAACAAAAAAATAATAACGAAATATGAAAATTCCTAAAATTCATATCAAGATTTAAGATAGAACCAAGAATTTAGAAGTACTAAAGTAATAATTATAATATAAAAAATTTAAATAAACGAAATATTTAAATAAACGAAATATATAAAAAAAATAATATACTATCACCTTTATCAAAGATCAATTATCATATTTCAAAAAATAAGACTCTGAATCAAGCTTTAATAAATATTCTTATAATTTAGCGGTAGCATAAAAGGGTAGTCAAATATACTTGTGTCATTTGTGGAAAATGTGATACAAAAATAAGATAAAATGATTATGGTGAAATTGAAAGAGGATTCCAATTTTTTGACTTTAAGCATTAAGGTTAAGCGATTGTTTATTAAAGTATTCTATTACTAAGTGCGCTTTTACAATTAAAATAGGAAATGTCAAAATCTAACCATATTCGTATTATAGCGTTTATAGGAATCAGAGACCTTCATGAGCCTTAATTTTTTGACCAAGCCCGGCCCATATTTAATTTTAAAAAAATTCCCAAATCCGGCCCAATCCCATAATAAGTTTCACAAAAATTTCCCAACCCGGCCCAAGACCATATATAAAAAATAATTTTTTTTATTTAATAAAAATAACAATATTTTAATATATTTAGGCAATCATTTTGTTTACAATACTGAAATATATTATTATTAGAAAAATAAAAGTCAATATTTCATTAAATTAGCAACTGTTTTAGATAATCTAAACTTAAATTTAATAATTTTAGGCATAAGCACATTAAAAAAATTTTTTTTAAACCCCGGCCCGGCCCAGACCCGCTAAAAAATATGAATGGGCAAGGTATGGGCCTGCGGGCCGCGGGCCGGCCCATGATGGTCTCTGATACGAATCGTCGCGTTGTTTAGTTTTTTTAAATATAATTTACAAGTTTTTAAAGTGAAATGAAAGTTTGATTATAAAAGAAATGTGTCTAAGATTTTTTAATAAAAATTTCTTATATTTTATAGAATTAAAAAATTAAGGTTTAGATGGTAAAATTATAATTCTTTAAGTATTTTTAGAGAGTAAAAAAAAAATTATTTGAGTATTTTTAACGAATTTCATTAAATATGACACTAGCCATCAATCATAGGCAACAATTGAGCGTGTCTTTGGTACTGAAAAAGTTATGTTAGGTTGTAAACGTTCCTGTCTTTTGGAAAAGAAATTGTTGTTAAAAATAAATAAAATATGGTTAGAAAATGTTCTATATAATAATTATAAATCTATTTTTATTTAATCTATTATAATATTGTATTTTTATAGCTTTTTATTTACATCAGAAACCTGCAGACCCGACCAGTGTTTTATTTTTTAAATATACCCGGGCCGGGCCAGACCTAAAATTTTTTTTAAAAATACCTGCCGGGCCTAATATTTTTTTAAAAATAACGAGCCGAGACTGTATATTTTAAAACGAGTATTTTAAATCGCCATTATTAGCTTTAAAAATTAATGTAATATATTTTTAAAAAATTCCAGCAAGGCCGAAATTTTTTTTAAAAAAAAAAATCTGGGTCGGGCCGTAGAAATGGCACCTCTGCTGCTGATATAAATATTATATCTAAAAAAAATAAATAGTAAAATCAGTACTCTTTCAGAGTAACATAACGCGTTACTATTTTTGGAATGTAACAAGTTAGGTAACTAAAGTAACGTTAATATTTTTTAAATAGATTTTTATTTAATAAATGTTTTAATACCTCCAATTAATATATAAGATAATGTATGATGATACCGGTTAATTCGTTTGAATAATATACAATTTAAAATTTTGGAAGTAAAAAATAAATGTACAAAAAAAAATATAAGTTTAATACAATATTAATAACAATAAAATAAAAAAAAAAATTTTTTTCGCATTTTTTAGAAATATATTTTTATTTTTTTCCTGTTCGACCATCATGTTTAGCATGAGTGAACATTCTCCTTAAATTGCTGATGGGCTTGAAGAAATTTTCAGCCATGCTATGATGATTTCTAGGTGTATTACCCTTATATTCTTGATTTGGGGTATTAGTAACTGATTCCTTTTTCCGTTTCGAATCTGAGGAATTAAGGTCGATAGTCGTTCCCGTTAGAGTATTTCTCTTATTATAATCAAATGAAGATGGTAAAGGATTGATGGTTATTTCGCTAGAAGATTTTGCATTTTGAGTATTGAAAAAACTTTGATTTGGTTTTGTATTTTGCTTTTCAAATTCTACATGCCGAGTGGTCTTAGGGAAAGTTGACGAATTTGGGAGGGGTTTGTTATCTATGGTTTTTGCATTGTTGGAATTGGGTGGAGATTTATCTTTATTGAGTACGTAGTTATTCGAGGAAGCGTTTGAAGAGATAGGTTTAGGTGATGGCATGAATATTTGAATAGAGGAAGGGGGTTGAACTTTGGGAGTGATGCTTGGCTTTTTATTTAAAGGAAGAGGTGAATATTTTGGGGTGATTAAAGGTTTTAGAGTATTGAGTGAAATTTCACTTTTCGAGCTTTTCATGAGAGCCGAACCTCGTCGATTTAAAGATCTATTTTCACGATCTTTTAAATTGAGAATATTGATAGTTTTGATAGCACCGATTGCTTGCTAAATATAATTAAATTTTAAAAAATATTATTTCGATATTTGCTATTAATTTATATATCAACGGTTTAAATGATAAAGATACCTGCCATCTATGATGAACCAAATATTTTTGATGCCTTTTGGTATTTATCCTTCTTAATTTTCTCTTTTCGGGTGTCGGATTTAACCATGGATGGTCTAATGCTTGAGTCGAAGTCATTCTTTTACTTTAATCATAATAAATACTTTATTAATAAAAAATGGAACTAATGAAAGAGAGAAGGAAAAAGAAAGAAAGAAAGAGTATCTAAAATGTACAACCATGAGATATCAGATAATTTACTAAATATTAATTTATATTCTATAGCATAAGCGTATCCAGCAGGGAGATTAAGAAGGTTAAAATATACCCCTTACCAAAATGGTCTATCTAATATTTTTACAATTTCAATATATATAGCATATTGAGATATGCAATCTACGAGGATTTGGAATCTCTCGATTTTAAATCATTCACTGAGGGCGATTTTTAAATTTTAAAAATATGATTTAACTGAAAATATATTCTAGAATATATAGAGTACCATACTGAGAAATTTCAAATAATTTTGCCATGAACCTTAGAATTACCCTTAATTTATAGTTAATTTTGCATGAATTTTTCATATAAATTAAAAAATACACAAAGATTTTAAGCGAAAATTTATAGGATAGGTACTCTAGACATGCTGGAATACATTTCCGGATAAATTGGATTAAAAAAATTTTTAAATCGCTCTCAGGAAATACTTATAAATAGAGAAATTCAAGTTCCCATGGATTTCAAAAGGATATGTCATATTTGTATCATAAATTATAATAAAAAAATATATATTATTTTCATTAAAATTTGGAAAGAAATAATCCTCTTGTTAATTAATGATTATTATTTAGCAATATGTTTAAACATTAATACTTGTGATTTGTGAAAACATACATTAAAGCATTTTGAATAATCTATTAATGTATATTTAATTCTTAAACTTTATAGAGTTAAATGTGAGGATAGCATTGTATATTTGCTATGTCATCGTTTTTCCTATTGGTATTCTTATTTAGTTATATGTTTCTATTTTTCCAGTAAGATTTACCTGTTCAAACCTTTTCTAAATTGATAATATTTTATGGTTATTGATCTTTAAAATAATATAAGCATAGTTAAATTGATAAGTATTATAATCTTATGTTTTTGTTCCAGGAACTCATTCTTTAAATTTACTTTAACAAATATTACTTATTTAATTGAAAAATGTTGTATTTTCTATTATGTTGAAAGCATAGGGTTACTTATAAATATGAACATCGTAAACTTAACTTATAAACATCCAGGACTATTATATACTTATGAGCAGGGTTGCCAGATAAAAACAATATGATTTTGGTAGATTTTCGTAAAAAAAAGTTTGAACTTAACTCCTTCTAAAAAAATACAATATTTTTCAAAGATTTATAAAAAAGGGATAATTTATTCTTAAAAAAGATTTTAATAATTATTGTTTTATCATTTTAAAATTTATATAAATTAGCTAATATGATGTGACCGCTAATTATATTTTTTCCCATCCTTTTAAGAATCGGGGATCAAATGGAAAAGGGTAATTGAAAATTTTGATTTTTAAATTTCATTACCTTTTCAGTTGATTTTTAAATTTCATTACTTTTTCAGGAAATTGTGATAGTACACTAGTCAATGTGGTAGACCTGGCAACCCTTGAGACTTTTTAAAAATATTCCTTAAATGCTTTCTGCTATTTCGATTAACAAATCAGTATATAGAGTTTGTTGCAACATAACATATTCATCCTTATCTATTTTATTCCTAATTAAATGCTTTATATGTTTTAAGGTTATTCGTTATAATATTTTTACAATAGTATCTGTTAACTGTAAGCAAATATATAATCTCCCCCTGGAAATAATCCTTAATACGCCTTCCATGATTTGTTAGGCAGGGACCTATCCCACGAGGGGAGGAGGAGTGATATGATGCGAGATCGTCATTAAAATTTAAGGGAAATAGGGAGTATCTTTTAAGAAAAGGGTAAGTGCAAATCGACAATGGCTTAAGGGCTTGTAGAAGTCCCTCTAGCTATTATATTAAACTAGCGCTATTAGTTTTGAAAGTCTATATAAGCAATATTTCTTACTATATAAAATTTTTAAAAAATTATTCCCTACCTTTGCTAACCACCCTTTTTCCAAGAAAAGACCTCGTTCAAAGGGCTTATAATAAAATTTAACATACCTTTTATTTTTTACGAGTAATTTGCTGATAAAATCTCTGGCCTCATTGGAAACTTCATCAAACTCTTCGTCATCGAAATCAAATTCTGCTTTAGTTATACTGCTTAAAGTTTCGCCAGTACTTTCCCCCATAAAAGGTGATAATCCTGATAGTCTTCGTAAAATAAATAATGTGTATAATTATTTTGTATAATAGCGCCATCTATTAACTTAATCGTATTAATCATTTGTAATTTGCAATGAACTTATTTAAAGCAATTTTATTATTATATAAATTTCAGTTTCGCAGTGACGTCGCTAGATTCTATCATTCAGAAGTACTGAAAAAATGTTTTAATTTAGGATGCATATAGGAAAACGTTTATATGAAAATATTTAGGCATACCTTGCAGGCTATAAACCCTCTTTTATGATACCGGTATGAATAAATAAAAAAAGACACTTTGACAAATCTATATGAGCAATTGCGACGCCATTATATATATTATATTATAAACATGGAGATACACTCGATGTAAAAATGTTGAATAAAGTTAAATAAGAATTACAGAACATAGGCGACTACACCCAAGCTCCACATATCCGTATTAAGGTCAATATCCTCATAGTTAACAACCTCGGGGGCCATGAATTCAGGTGTTCCGAAAAGAACTTTAATTTTTTTACCGGGGTTATAACGTTGAGCAAGTCCAAAATCGATAACCTTGATCTTATGAGCCGAATTGTGGACACACATAATATTCTCAGGTTTTAAATCTAAATGTATTATACTATGCGTGTGCAAATATTGGAGGGCCAAACAAATCTGCCGAACATAATTTTGGCAATCTTTTTCGGTCAAGCAAAAATCTTCGTCCACAACTTTCTCGAAGAGTTCTCCTCCAGAGACACTTTTAATATTTAAAAACAAGAAATGTTTAATGCATAAAAATGATAAAAATAAATAATACCATTAAGCAACATTAAAATTAGTCCTATTTGAAACTATTTTATATATTTTTCTTAACTTATCAGTTGCTGATATTAAAAATTGTATAAGTTTAATTAATTAACTAAAAAAAATTCTAATAAAGCCATGTATATTACTATCAGAGTTGTTAACGCTCCTATTTAAAAGTATCTAGCTCTCGCTCCCGCTCCTACCTTCTTAAAAGGAGCTAGCTCCCGCTACTACATTTTTGGAGCTAGCTCCTGCTCCAAGTAATGGAGTACTCCATAACCGCTGCTTTGATTTTCATTTTTTTAGAAGGTATACGAAACAAAATCATATTTTTTTTATCAAAAATAATCTATCAAAATATTTATAACCTTTTATTAGCTTTTAAAAGTAATAATTTTCTAAATTAGAATCTAACAAACATCCACATCCACGCCTCTCCCCTAAGACCATTTTCCCCACAGGAGCATTAGAGAGAAGCGGGGTATTATATTTTATAAAGATATTTTTTAATTCAGGGAATTTATCAAAAATAGTAATTTTGGTATGATTATTTAAAAAATATTTGTCCAACAATATATTATCTTCCTGATGATCAATTTCATGGAATCCAAAAAAATCTTTCAAATCTTGTATTTAAAGATAGATTTTTTACTTTTAGATGCTTTTTTAGATTGAAGCTGCTCACTTTTGAAATAGTCTTATTTAAACACAAAAGGCATTATGCCCTTAAATTTGTTTGATCATTTGGATCAACATCTTTTATAAGTTTAAAATATTTTTTGTATGATGGAAATGGAAATTCAATTTCTACATCTATGATCTCTAACTCCATAATATCTAAAACTATATTAATATGACTTACAAAATTTTCAAAAAATTTTCAATATAAAAAGGAAAAACTTAATATTTAATATTTAAAATAATTAGATGAAAAACCAATATAAAACTCGGCTAAACATTTAATAATGGATAAATTTAAATAAAATAAAATTTAAACTTTATTGAATTTTAATTAACAAATATTATTAATATTTAAAAAATAATTTAATTTTTACTTAAATTTAAAGCAGCGGTGGAGCGGCGCTCCTCCACTCCAGCCCTAAAAGGAGCTAACTCCCGTTCCTCAATTTTAAAAAGGAGAGGCGCTCCAGGTGTTTTTTAAAAAATGTAGCGGCGCTCCATAGCATTGCTCCTTAACAACTCTGATTATTATTATATATTATTGATATTTTATTATAAATGCAAATGCTATTCCATATGATTTCATTAAAATTTCAAAACTTCTGAATGTTTAGAAAATTATAGGAATTTTTAAAATAGATTTTGGAATTATATTTTTATTAATTTTTTTCTATAGTAATTTTTTTAAAATCTTTTCTTATTTTGTAAAAATAGTTTTGTAATATTTTACATTATTCCTTATTTTATTTTAACTTAGATAATAATTGGATAAATTATACCTGTTCGGCCAAAAAAAAAATTAATTTTTATTACAAAACTTAAAATGAAAGAAAATAATACATCTACATAGATTATAAACGTATAAAATACAATGTATTTACTATTCTAAAACCAAGATAAATTCGTTGCCAGTTTCGAAGGCCCCGTAACATTCAACGATGTTTGGGTGATGCAAAGATTTTAAAATATCAAATTCATTTATCGCGTTTTCTTTTTCCATGGCATTGTAAGGGCTAAAAAATTTGGCCGCATAAATTTTTTTCGTAAACTTTTGAGAACACAATTTTACAACTCCAAACCTTCCCCTGTTTTTGGTAGACAAAATAAAATAATATATTCGATATTAAAACTAAAATAGTATAACTTATATAGTTCTGGTCTAGGAACCTGGTACAATAGCATTTTTGATTTTGTTACGTTCGATCTTTTATAATTAAAAATGTTCAATTCTACCCCCTTTCCAATTTTCATTTTTAAAGGCCCGTAAGGCCTGAATATTTTGTGAAAACTTGGAACGCTCTAGAATCTTCGAAAAGTAGTTGCTATGTATTTCCAGAATAAGGCAACTTTTAGGTATTGCTATTTTCTGGGTCTCTCTCAGATTTAATTATAAATTGTTCAGATTAATGTATTAAATGCTCACAGGGCCGGATCTAGACTAAAGTTTTTTTATAAATATATTTGTCTATATTTTTCGGAAAAACATCTCTAAAAGTTTAATCTTCCTTCTCCCTTGGGTCGCGTCACATCAGTCTATACCTTGAGCAAGCCCTGGATACTCAGATTTATTGCTGAGCATTAATTTCTCTTTTAGAATAAATTATCATAGACCTACAAATATGTTATAAGGGGCGTCTCTAAGGCCCCCCTCTCTAGGTGCTTCGCTAGAAAATTTGATTGAAAATGATATAAAAGTTTATATATGTGAATGATTAAATCAGATGTTAACTAAAACAAAATGGTATACATCCTCTCCCAAACATTTCTTTGAATGATATGATAATGCCCATTAAAACGATAGGTATCAACTTCTCTGAAATAAAAATTTCTTATTCAGTTCTATGAGGATGTTTTCTATTATAATCGAAGTGTAATAATAGTAACTATTATACTTTTCAAAATTTTTTTAGGAGGGTGAGGGGAGGGGGTTAGGGGAGACTAAATGAATTTTTAATCAATATATTTTGCTATAATTTTAGCGATAGATTATGTAATTTAAAAGGTGGCAAATGTCCAGTGGCGTCACCAGCTTTACCATCTCAAGGGGCTTGACCAAAAAAGTTTATGGGGCTTCTACCCCTCATACCCTCTATTTTGCGGACTTTCGTACCTTTTTCTCTCGGCCTTCGGTCGGGCTTCCTTTTAATATCTTATATTCTTTTTACATTAAGATCTGCAAACAATGAACTAGTATTCAAATTTTCCATCCATTTATTGTCGTATTGTGATATGGAATTCATTGCGATTCAGAATCTCTCAATTTTTTATAATTTACCTACTGAGGGCGTTTTTTAAATTTGATAATCTGATTTGACCGGAAATGTATTCCAGCATGTGTGGGATACCTACGCTATAAATTTTTTGATAATTTTTTTTTCTTAGCATTCCTCCAAATTTTCTGGTTTTTATACTTCCATTTTGTAGGTAATATGTTTTAATTTATATCAAATTTAGAAAATGAAGTGAATTTTGTAGTGTAGGTAAAGTATTTTGTTATAAATGTTATTTATTAATATGCTATATAAAAGAATATGATGCTTATCTTTTTTATATCAATTTTAGAAAATTAAATATAGGGAATTTTCTAACAGGCGGGTAACCAGGTAGGTGGGCGGTCTCCTATCTCAAATTTTCCTGTTCTCGTAAATGTTATTTTAAGTATCCTTCTTGTATGCGGGTTATATTGTATTCGATATTCAGGGTGGCTAGCACCACCAAAATACACATAAAAAATTTATGAATGTATTTGCTTTCTGCGAAAAATCAAATGAATCACAGGTGTTTGAGCAAAGATTTTTTTAAAATTCTTTTTTTGATATCGATTAAAAACATTTTCAAGAAATTTCAAAGTCGAGGTTAAATATTATTTATAATCCTTTTAATTTAATATAAAAAAATAGCAAAATTATGTTTCTTATGTCAACAAATAAAATTTTAGGTTCAATGGAATTCATAACAATAAATTTTCCATTATTATTTCATTCGTAAATTAGTCCAAAAAAATGATTCGGAATGTCCCATAAAAAATAGCCGATTTATTTTAATATTATCATTACATAATAATGTAAAATTGCGTAGTAAAATGATCTAAAATTACATTATATTTATATCTTTATGTTTATTATGATTAGCGGCCTGCACGGGCTGCTTGAAGCCAGACCCAACCCGTCCCTCTGAAATTGAAAATTTTTTCTCGGCTCGGGTCGGGCTGTAAGAAGATAGCCCTACCCGACCGTAAGATTAAATATTAAAATATATGCTTAATTTTTTTGTTCCAGCGAAATGTTAATCAGAATCAGAATCATATTTTATTTTTTATCTTTTCCAGGTCATTTATTCATTTAAGTGATTTCCATTTCCCAAATTAATAATAGAATAGCCTATTTATGGGGGTTACATATACTTTTATTTAAGGTGGCGAGATGTGAATAAATACACTAATTTTTAATTTTTCCTTGAATATTATATTAAACTCAAGTTCCAACTTCAATCGTGTTGGCTCGAGTAAAAAATGTGCTCGGACTCGGGTCGGGCTCAGATCGGGCTCAGACATTCTAGTTAGTGTGACCAAAAAATTACTTTGCAGGGCTCTAATTATATAAGATTTAAAGTTAATATTGACTATATTATGTACTAATATTTATGACTAAAAAAATGTAACTGTATTAATTTAGGTATTCGTTTAGTTTAGCTCATAATCTCCTGTGTACAAATAAATAATAAATTTCTCATAGGCGAATTTTCGTAGAGAGGGAGGGTGGATGTCTTTTTATCATAAATTTTGTTGGATAGTTTACCACCCCCCCCCTCCCCCCCCCCCACATCTTGGAAAATTTAACCGGATTAGATTATAAAATAATTACATTTCTCGAAAATCTCTATTATATTTAAAAAAAAATTATTTATCATGACTTAGTGAATAGTATTCATTTATTGAGGAGAGGGAGTCGGGGTAGTGTTGGGAAAAAATCATATTGTCTTAAATATTTACGAAAATTAACAAATTTGCGGGGAAAGGAATACCTTAGTTAAATGAATGGGATTTCTCCACTAAATGAAAAATTAAAAAAAATTGTTTTTTTTTACTTTCCAACGTCATTCTTCTCGTCGAATGATTCGTAGAATCGTTCTATAGGTTCTATTTTTGTGTCAAGCATCTAAAGTTCACAATCGACAATAGCACTAATATATATTTAAATAATCAAAATAATAAATAATTGCATATATTCCAGGTGCGCCACTCTAGCCTTTACAATTCGCGCAATTCCATAGAAGATTAAATTCCTATTTATGAACAATATGGTGATTAACTTTTTAAATCATCATAAATAATGTTTGCTTCGATATTTTATTGTGACTTACATTAGAAATCTGCAAAGCCCTGCCCAAAATCAGCCAGATCGAACGAGCTTCGGGCCTGACCCTATTTTTAAAAATTAAGGTCAGGTTGAGTCAGGTCTAATATTTTTAAAAAATTTGGGCCGGGCTGGGTTTAAATTTTTAGATATAATATCATTATATTTTGTGTAAACTTGATATTTTTAAAAAAATTTGCGAGAAATAAAACTCCAATATTTTTTATTTATAGAATATTATTTTTACAATTAAAAAATATTAAATATTTTATATATTTAAATAAATTCGGGCTGGACCGATCTAATAAATAATTTTTATTTTTATTTCGTGCGAGGTTTTTGGAGATAAATTAGGCCCTGCAGATCACTAATTTACATTCTGGTTTATATAGATATAATTTTTAATAATAATCGCTCTTAGATATTTTGTATTTTTCAACATTTTATATTTATGTTAGAAATAGTTATTTTTATAAATAAGGCTACTTCCAGACTGAACGTTTTTACAAAGCGGTTTTTGGGTAATTTTACTATCAATTTTTTTTACTTATTTTCAAAAAAGATGATAATTTATCGTTTTTTATAATATAATATTTTTTAAAAAAAATGTTCGAAGAACCCAATGACATATATAATACCTAGACTGACGATTCATTCATTAAAATACATTTTTAAGCGTCGTTAAAAGCAAATCAGCTAGACCCGCCATTTTGGTAACACATATAGTAATTATTCTCATGTTAAAAACTACTATTAAATTGATAACTTGCTTCCTTATTATCTTGATTATCCGGTAATTCTGTAATAAAGTTTGCATCAGATATAGGAATAAATTAGGCGCTCGTTTAAAATTTTAATAATCATTAGTGTAACCAAGATGGCGTCTCAAGCTGATTTACATTGATGTACACTTTTAATGAATGAATCGTCAGTCTAGGTATTATATATGTCATTGGACGAACCCCATTTCAGAAGCTATTTAATCATAAACAGAAAACAAACTGTTTTGATTTTTATTAACGATTAAATGACATCTGAAATGGAGCTCGTCGAACATTTTTATTTAAAAATATTATATTATAAAAATATTAATAATTCAACAAATAATTTTCTTTTGTTTGGAAATAAATAAAAAAAGTGCTGGTAGGGTCATTCCATGACAAATCAACCACGATTCGGCCGACCCCCTTCGATTTTTTTAAAATTTGGTAAGCAAAGTAAGGTCGATGTAACTAAGAAATAGCCAAAATTTTAGCCTCCTAACATTTATATTTTTGAAGATATTAGGGTTCAAAGTGTCAAAAATGACGTATTTTTACCATTATCTGCCTTCATTCAATTAAGCATATCTTAAAAACTACATAATTGTAAATAACAAATTTAATATCAAAATTACATACAAAGATTCTACTTTTAGATAAAAAAATTTTTTTATTTTTTTTCCCAATTTCCGGTCATTTTATTTAATATATAAGGACTAAAACGATTTTTTGGAAATAATACGACCTTCAATTTTTTTAAAAAATTTAGTAGACATTATTAAACTCTTCCTTTATATTTATAAAAAAAAATTGGTCTGGGACGCGGCCATCTTCATTCTCAAAATCGATAAAAATGTTTAGAAAAGTGTATAAATATTTTCCCGAAAGGGGGCGTCTTTGTATAAAATTATATATTAATCAGTTTTTAATGGTTTTTCTTGGACTTGATATAATTTAAAGGATTATTCATCTTGTAAGTGAAAATAACAATAAATGGGGCTTTCATTCAATTATAGAAATTGTCTATCGATAAAAGAAATTCAATTTATTACTTTATTATAAAATTTTTTGCCCATATAACATATACTTAATGAATATTAATAAAATATATTCAACCAAGTTTATAGTTCTTGAATATATGAATCAGAATCTTGTTCATTTCATAGACGCCAAAAATAATATCAAAATTTTCTCTACTCATTTTTTTAAAATAATTTGAAATTTTTAAAATATTACAAATATTAATTTATTATTATTATGAAATTATATACAAAATAAAAGTATTATCATAAAATTACCCAAAACAATATAAATATTGGATCGGATTTTCTAAAATCGGCATAGTCTTTCTAAATTAGAATAACAATAAATAAGTGTTTCAATCAATAAAATAAATAAAAATTTTAAAATTGATTAACCCTTTCGCGCCCAGCGAGATCATTTGTCATTAAAATTTTTAATCAATTAATTTTTATATTTAAAGAAACTAATGGTTGGTACTTAGAGATATTAATTTATAAAACAATATTTATTATTTCATATTTTATCATTAACCTGTCAAAATCATTATTTTATTATGTCAAAATGATTATTTTATTATATCAAAGTACAAGTATTTTTTGTTTATGGGAAATATTTCAAGCGCGAAAGGGTTTTATTCATTCAATAACACATACTCACTATATTAATTCATTTTTTAATAAATTTCTTGGTATTTTGATTTCTATCAACACCTAACCCCAAGCCTGGAAAAACTATAGACGAATATACAGTTAAAATTGTACAAGAATTTTATTGTATGGACGAAATAAGAAGAATCATACCAGACAAGAAAGATTGCGTTTCGATTTTGACCAAAGACGGAAAAAAGAATACCATAAGAGATTAATTTTAGATAATTTGAAAAAAATTTATATATTTTTTAAAGAAATGAGGCCTGATGTTAAAATTGGTTTTTCGAAATTCGCAAGCATTCGCCCAAAAATTGTATACTCGTTGAAGGTAGTGGTACACATGTATGTGATTGCAGCTACCACCAAAATTTAAATTAATGATCATTGGATCAAATTTAACCAATGCCTTTAAAACATACAAACATATTTTACACTTAATAATTTGTAATTCGCCTCAACCATCCATTTATATGGGCAAATGTGATAATTGTCCAGGGTCAACACATTTACGCGATCAAATAGAAATATTGTTTCGTTCTAAGGACATCGAATTTATAACATACAAACAATGGCTATCCGTAGATAGAACCACCCTTGAAACAATAACCAAACCAGTAGGTGAATTTATTAATGCCTTTTTAAAATAAATGGAATCTTTATCATTTTTTTATTTCAACGCAACAATCGTTGTACCAAAACAATCTAAAATTGAACTTAGACGAAGACCAATATTTAATTTTGTGATTTTTAAGAAAACTATAGCTTTATACTTTAGGATGAAGTACAAAATTATCATTGGAATAGGGCTCAATCCACTGTTCACCCTTTTGTTATATATTATAAAGATAATTTTGCCAATATTTGTTGCCTAAATTATGTAATGATATCCGAATCTTTGCAACACAATACAATAGCAGTACATAATTTTAAAAAAACATTGCTAAATTTTTTAATTAATAAAATTTTATATTTTTCGGTGGATCCGCTGCACAGTACAAAAACGTAAAATTTTTATTAATATTTGCCATCATGAGATGGATTTCGGGGTACAGGCGAAATGGCATTTTTCTGCTACAGCACACGGGAAAAGTGTTTGTGATGGGATTGGTGGCACTGTTAAAAGATTAGCCGCTAGAGCTAGTTTACAAGGCCTTACTCAAAGTACACATCATATGAATTGTACGAGTTAGCTAAAGAAAATATTAATGTCATATATTTTGAATAGATGATCAAAATAAATTATGATTACGAAGATCTATTACTCAGGGAAAGATTTTCAAAAACTAGATCTATACCTGGAACACACAAAATACACCTTGATTCCAACAGATCTACATAATTTAAAAGTAAAATATATTCCAATTTAATAGAAAGTACTTTGGAATAGTTATCATATAATGATGAAAGTATAATTATTGAAGAAATATCATGATACCTAACTTATTTTTATGATTCTAATTGGTGGTTAGCTTTGTTTTAGTGAAAAATCAAAAGCAGGAAGAAATATATATAAAGTTTCTACACCCATCCGGACCTTCAAATTCCTTTACATTTCCAAGATAGACGACACTCTTTGCTTGCCCAAATGTCATATCTTAACATTAGTTTCACTGTTAAATGCTACTGGCCGTAGTTATACTATACATTGTCGTCACAAGAAAGTAAATGCGCTACCGAAAAATTAGAATCTTTTAAAAGTAAGTTTAAATTTAAATTATAGTAATTTTTTTAATATTTAGGGCGCCATATATGAAATGCACAAGATTCTGATTCATATATTCAAGAACTCGAAACTTAATTAAACATATTTTATTAATATTTATTAAATATATGTTATATGGGCAAAAATTTTTATAATAAATTATAAATAAAGTAATAAATTGAATTTCTGTTATCGTTAGACAATTTCTATAATTGAATGAAAGCCCCATTTATTGTTATTTTCACTTACAAGATGAATAATCCTTTAAATTATATCAAATAGTCCAAGAAAAACCATTAAAAAATTATTAATATATAATTTTATACAAAGACGCCCCCTTTCGGGGAAATATTTATACACTTTTCTAAACATTTTTATCGATTTTGAGAATGAAGATGGCCGCGTCCCAGACCAATTTTTTTTTATAAATATAAAGGAAGAGTTTAATAATGTCTACTAAATTTTTTAAAAAAATTGAAGGTCGTATTATTTCCAAAAAATCGTTTTTAATCCTTATATATTAAATAAAATGACCGGAAATTGGGAAAAAAAATAAAAAATTTTTTTTATCTAAAAGTAGAATCTTTGTATGTAATTTTGATATTAAATTTGTTATTTACAATTATGTAGTTTTTAAGATATGCTTAATTGAATGAAGGCAGATAATGGTAAAAATACGTCATTTTTGACA